TTAGGCGGGGACATTCGCTTGGAATTTGAGTTTCAGAGGCTCCACATTTCCCAAGCAGCTGTCGCAAGGGTGGGACAGAATTCCAGATAAGTTGGATACAGTGAATTTTAGAGATCATTGTGAATTTTGTGCATGACTTCATGAATTTTTGTGGCGAGGAGGGAGATCTGGCCTTGCAGCAATGCCCCTGAAAAGGATGTTAATGCTATCTACACCTGGTTTCTCCCTCATGTGTTCTGCTTGGTCTCCTGGCAGGGAAAAGCCTGAAGACGCTTATGTCCAAGGGGATCCTGCAAGTGCACCCCCCGATCTGCGACTGTCCAGGCTGTAGAATATCCTCGCCTGTGGTGAGATATGAGATAAGCTGGAGCTTGTTGGGCAGAAGGGCTGGGTTTCTGCTTCAAAACTGGCGACTGTTGTCTGGGAATGAAAATCCTAACCTCAAACCTGCTTATGTGTTAGAGGAACCTGAGAAAAGTAAATAGGCTAGTGAGCTAATTGGCACTCTCTCAGACTGTACCTGGGAAGAGAAGGAATCCCAGGTGCAGAAGCCATTTCCAGGTTGGATACAGGGTGAGTTGTTGTTGAGAATTATTTTTGTTTTGTGTGTTTGTTTCATGCATGTCTGGTGCCTATGAAGTCAGAGAGGGAGTACGAGGCTCTGGAACTACAATTGATATGGTATTAACCTGCCATGTGGATACTTGGAGCCAAACCCAGGTCCTCTTCCAGAGCAGCAAGTCTTGTTGTCATCCTCACTGTTATTGTGGTTTTATTTTTGTTTTTTATTTTGTTTGTTTGTTTTGAGACAGGGTTTCTTTGTGTAGCTTTGGCTGTCCTGGACCCTTTTCTTTAGCCTAGTCTGGCCTTGACCTCACAGAGCTCCCCCTGCCTCTGTCTCGCTGAGTGCTGGGATTAAAGGATGTGTGCCACTACAGCCTGGCTTGGTTTTGGTTTTTTGAGACAAGCTTTCTCTGTATAACTGCTCTGTTTTTATCTTAGAACTCACTCTGTAGACTAGTCTGGCCTTGACCTCACAGAGATCCCCCTGCCTCTGTCTCGCTGAGTGCTGGGATTAAAGGATGTGTGCCACTACAGCCTGGCTTGGTTTTGGTTTTTTGAGACAAGCTTTCTCTGTATAACTGCCCTGGCTGTATCTTAGAACTCACTCTGTAGATCAGGCTGGCCTCAAACTTGCAGCAAGTGTTCTTAAGCAGAGTTACCTCTTTCCAGTTCTTCCACCCTTGGAACTGTTTCTATTCAAATCATGAGAATGGTTGGTAGCCTTGTTCCTGGATCATATTAGTCAACTTGGGCTTTAGGACTCTCCTTGGCCCAGATCTGGAGGTCAGTAAATCATCTGGCACACCTGGGAGTGATGCTGATTGTGGGGTTGGGCTCATTCTGAGGCATGACAGTACTGACTTGCTTTGGCTGTGATCTGGGATAGTTCCAGGCTTGAAGGTGAGAAACCTGTGCCTCTGGGATGCTGAGTTGGAATCCTGCCCAGCATATGTCTAAATGTCTGAGTGTAGTGATGGAATAGCCTGGTCAGGGCAGGCTGTATCTAAGTGAGCTGAAGTTGGGGACTGGTTACAGAATCCCACCAAAGGTAGACAATGTATGGAGTACATGAAGAACAAGAGAGATTAGGGATCAAGCATGCATGCAAGAAGCATTTGAGGGATTCATTTGAAAAAGAGATTACCTCAGGAGAGGGACTAAGTTAGAACCCCTGGGGGAGGGTGATAAGGGTCTTGATGTTGAACTAGAGCTGTACCTGGCTTCACCCAGTATCCCCTCTGCAGGGGCAGAGTGAGGCAGAGATGCCATGATTGGACTCAATTGGCCACCTTAGGTTTGTTTCATTTGGGTTAGTGGTGGGCTATCCTTATGGGTTCCTTATGAGCCCTGAGGGACATGCTGGGAAACCACTAACTCATGAATGTGGGCCAGGAGAAAGGGAGCCACATGCCTACCCCACCAGATCTAATACAGGCCATCAGCCTCAGGCTAACACACATACTAGGTTCACAAAGCATGTAGGTGAATACAGACAGCAGTAGCTGCTGGAACCAGAGGCCAAAATGTGTCCACTGCTGTACTGGGCATGTAGCTAGTGCAAGAGGGGTCCTCTCTAGGCTTATAGGACTCCATTTTTTATTTGGATGGGAGGAGTCTTGCTACTTACAAACCAATGCCTGTTGAGCACACACACACACAAAACTGGAGGACAAGTAGCCATGTGCCTCCTTCACTTCAAGTGGGAAATCTGCAGCTCAGAGAGGGATGGGCCTGCTGTTTGTCTGGGGCTCCCAATCCTTACCATGGGTGGGAAAAAGCTCAGACCTGAGGCCAACTTTCCTAAGCCTGGTTCCATCTTAGAAAGACCTCCCCAACCCCACATTGCAGCTGTCTCTTGTATCACACAATCAGGACCACAAGTATGTATCAGTATCACAGATATTCCAGTAGTTGAATACAGTGTGCACATAAATCAGAGACACTGAACAATGGTACTCCTCCCACTGTATGAAGAAGGCTAGCTCTTAGTTAGGTTTTCAGATGTTTTCAAGTTTTCAGATATGTTAAGCAGTAGGGCTGGCTGACATTTCCAGTACATTAAGGAACTATATCCTTAGTCCTTGGTTATGATCAGGATAGCCATCTGGATTCTTGGTACCATTTCTCATGGGTCATCCCACAGGTACTACCCAAGATCCAACCCGTGGTACCCTCAGAGTATGACCCTGTGCCCAGCTGTGTGTGTCATGGGGTTGAGGCTGGCAATAGCCAACTGACTCTGGATCCTTTCCAAGTGACAGTCTCATGGCCCTGTGTCCCTTTCTTCCTATTGTACGAAAGAAAGAAAACAAATGGTTCTTTCTCTTATCGAGAGACAAGCAAGAGCTCATAGAAATGATTTCCCAAGCCTTTGGGATGACAGAGGCCTGGGATACAAGCCTAGTAAGTATAGTGTCTGTAGGATAAATTCCAGGCATAATGAATGGCTTCCACCCTGCAGCCTTACCTTCACTCTGCTGTCCCTAGAACAGTGGAGGATAAAAGTCAAGTAGATCTTAAAGGGGGCCATAGAAATAATCCTCTTGTCCTGGTGCTAGGACTCAGGCCATAGGGATTCACATCCCCACGGACAGGGTCCATATCAACTACTCTGGAAAGTAACCAAATGCAGGTCCTAAAAGACTCCTGAGGGTAGATGCAGCAGAGACTGTGGCTCCCAGAGCCTAGAGTAGGACAACAGAGCACTTGCCTAGCATGCCCAGTATCTCAGATATGAGGGGTGGGGTAGAGAGAGAGAAATAAAGGAAAAATGGCTGTTAATTGATGTTTCTGTTTGACAATAGATAGAGAGAATGGGAGTGGAACCTTGCCCCAGGTAGCATACGGATCCCAGAAGATTCTAGACCCATGAAAGGAACTGGGGTTGAGAGGCATTCTCTAGAATGTAGAAGGTAGGACTTACAGTGTATGGTGAGCCATCACTGAGGCTAAGCCTACAGAGAAGGACTGGACTGGAGCCTGTGGGTCCTACACCATCATCCTTGTGTGCTGTTCTACAGCAGTGGGGCTTCTCACCTTGGCCCATGCCCTGTAGGCTGAAGGCCTGACCTAACCTAACCCTCCTCTTCCTACCTTCTCAGAACCGGGGACGGCTGGCTGACAAGAGAACAGTCACTTTGCCCCCTACACATGCCCTAAAGAAAGAAAGAACTACCAGTTTCTCAGCCAGCGATGGTGACAGTGATGGAAGTGGCCCGGTTTGCAGGCAGCCAGGCCTGAAACAGGAGAATGATTCACATGTCCATATCATGAAGAGAAGGTACTTGTTCCATGGCCAGGCCAGGAAGCTACTGTGGGAGTGAGGGTATCAAAGTCAAGGGTCTGCAAACACTGTGAGGGTCAGGCACAGGCAGGAACCTTTCTTGACATCTTATTCAGGCACTTTACTTCTGTGCAGGGGTCACTTTTAGGGAATGGGTTGGTGGCAGCGGGGCCCAGAAGCCTGTACCAACCTGGGCTGATGCTCCAAGTCTCCTTCAGGTGGCTACTGTGAT